TGTTAGGTTTGGGGTTAGGGTAAGGGTTAGTGTTAGGTTCAGTGTGGGATAGTGATATCTTATGTAAAAAGCCTGAAGTTTCTGCTTAACATTAAAAAAAGTCTTCGAAAAATCCATTGTTACTGGGTTTTGGGCAAAGGAAAGTTTTCGGAATAAAACAATTATTGGGTTTTGGGCAAAGGAAAGTTTTCGGAATAAAACTCCACGTTTCCTCCACATTTCCAAGTTTGTCGACAGCGATTCGAGCTCAATTCGAGCTCGTTTTGTTTTTTGCGCCTTTTTTCGATTTACGCTCCCAACGCCGTTGGCCTATAGCCACCGTATTAAATTATTTCAACAAAATTTTACGACTCCTTATTTTCACAAAATCCTTTGTTGGTAAATCAGTTTTATCAACTTAAAAACCCCTTCTCACGTTTACCGTATGAAAACAACCTGCGGCTTGTTGTATCCAATACCACTACCAAGGAAACTCCTGCCGCATATCATAAGCAGAAATAAATTAGCTAAAAAGACAAGGGAGATTGGGACGGTCATTTCGAGCTTATCAGCCGTCATCAGGCAGCCATACTCAACCCAAGTGGTGCCCACCCCGAGGTTCGAACCCACGACCTTGTTAGTTAGAAGTCCAACGCTCTAACCACTGCGCCAAGAGCTCGTCGCCCTGCCAGTTTCGATCGGGAATATACACAGTGGTAGATAGGCGCTCACCGATCGGTTGCAGGATTCGCTTATTAGTCGCTGTTCGGCTGCCAGCGGAGTACGAGAGAGACCAAAGGCATAAAGCGACGAGTGAGTTCTATAAATGATCGGTGAGCGTCTGTCTACAATAGGGACTGTTCTATCCCGACGGTGTGACGGAAGAAAAGACAAAGGCTTACGGAAACTGCGGATTTTCTAGTCCGTCAATTTTTGCCTAGTTATTAGAGTCCTTGCCGCTCTCGAACATTTCGGCCAATGACGGTCGGTGAGCCTTCTAGAAAATTCTGGCCTAGGACGTGCCGCACGTTCATTGGTCTTTTTTCACGCTGTAATCCCTGGCGGGAACTCTTCGAATATTTGGGTCACACGCGTGAATACCACTTGAGTACGACGCGATGCCGCAACAGCGCACGCTGATTGGCTGTTTGCATCTGCCAATTGACTTGGCCCGTTGCGACGCCTGTGGTCACGTATTCTTTTCACTGTGGGCTGCGGTTTTCGTCTCCTTAACAAAGACCGTCCGTCGAACTCGCCACTCTCCGGGAGGGGCTGTACGCGGTGACTTGTGCAACTTGGAGCATCGTAATGAAAACTCGTAAACAATTATGGTGTCGGCCCCATTTTATCTATTCACACCCGTTGTGTCATCATGGTGACTGTAGATAGGTGCAGGC